CTGGGTGACCCACAGAGGGCCCTGCCAACCCCTGCCATGCTGGGATTCCGTGATTCTGTGATTTTCCTCTGCCCTCCTGGCACGACGCACATCCAGCCTTGGTGCTGGGCAGAAGCCGTGCCCCCCGCTGCCGCCACGCCGGCATCCCCGCATCCCAAACCCACCCCACAGCTGCGCTGCCGTTTGTACGACCTTCTCATCCCTGTCAGGATGCACGCTGCCGCACCACGGAAACACCGTCGCACGCAGCGCTCCGTGGTCAGACACACACACACAAATATAACGTGTAACCGCTGCTCCCTGCACTGTGGAGTGCCGAACCCGACCCAGCCACTCCCAGGCTCCCCCCTAACTTTATATCCCTGGTTTCTCATCAGGGTTGAGGTTTTTTTGAGGTTTTTTTTTTTTGGCTCAACCTCTGGTGCCTCCAAAACGACTGGGTTGACTCTACCAGAACCAACGTCTAACCCTACAGGCGGGGCTGGCTCTCCTGCTCCCAGCCAGCCCCGGCTCAGCGCTCTGTGCCGAGCCTTCGCTGCAGTGCTTCTTCCTTCCAGCAAACCCTCTGAACTGATTTACCACAACCACACAGGCAAGCTCAGCTCCAGCTCTCCGAGCGGGAGACAGGAGCAGATGTCTCCGTCCGAATGCTACCGGATTTTGGTAGCCAGGAGCTCCATGCGTTGGGGTTGACGTTCCGGTTTCTGCCTTTGGGTGGCATTTGCAGAAGGCACTTCAGCTCCGCTGCGCCTGCACGGGCAGGCAGGAGCACACGTTGGGTACCGGCAGGGGCTAGACTTGTAAAGAAATTCTCCAGACCATTTCATTAAGGCTTTTTTTTGATCTCCAGGATTCATAAATACTTCACATTTCCACTCGCTAAAACACCAGCCTGCCTTCTTTCCATTTCACTCCTTGACAGCAGGGATTTCCTTTTAGCCAGCCTCCCCATCCACTCAATCCTTTCGCTGAGCCCGAAACACCCGTTTAATTCTCCTCTCTAACTCGCAGCATCCACCTCAGAGGAGTTGTTACTCATTTTGTTAGACGACCTAACGCCCCTTGGGGTTCCACCGCAAGCTGAGGGAGGTTTGGCTTCCGACTGCAGCGTTTCTGCAGACACAGCCCAGGGACTCAGGGATGGGCAGCGTGTCTCCACCACAAGCCCAACGCTACGCACGGCCACAGGTACCAAGTGACCAGTACCACACGGTTTGGGGTCTTCACCAACCACAGGCAATGCCCCCCCACCTCTGCAGACTACTTCAGCCATAGCTGGTGAGCTGCTCACTGATTTCATTCTATTAATTGCTTGAATGCTGCCCTCCGTTTCCCTGGAGGAGGGACTCAAAACGCTATGTAGGGATCAAACCAAATCCCTCATATTTTCCCACCTTTTTGGCACTTGTGGCAGATATCTAGAAAAACAATGTATCGCGGGCAAAGATTAGTTAGAAATCCCAAAAATTCTCTTAGGAAGACTATTTCCTCAGGCACAGGAGGTCCCCGGAGAACGCAAATCCCATGTTCAGCTGGGCATTAGCCCCTGGCAGCCTCATCGACTGCCAGCAGCCTGAAATGCGCCGGAGCTTTCTCCCTCTGACCAATAAAACTGTGTATCTCCCCCAAACAAGCAATCTCCTGATCTGGAAGATAAATCAGCACAAGAGCCCTGGAGAACACCTGCAAGCATCCGAGAGGATGATCCCAACAGCGAGGAGACATGGTCAACTGCAGCTCAGTGTGGCAGCTGGTGAGCAAACAGTGTCACTGTCCTGAAACAGACCTCGAAAACCAAACCTCACCTCAGTTCATCATCAGATACAGCCATCAGACGGCCTGCTCTGTAGATAAGACAGATCTTTGGACAACCCATTTCAGTGGAGATTCTGTGTTTGGCATTATGGAAGGTGATGGTGTCCAAGAAAAGCATCTAAATATTCAAAGGGTGAATGTATTTATTCAAAGGAGATGTAGCTATATTACGGGTATGTAGAAATTCTATTTTTAAATGCACATAGGTTAGGTAAAATCCTACTCTTGGGAAATACTGGTATAGAAACACTCTTCTTGGGAACCTACAAACTCCTCCTCGCTTCTACTCTTCCCCTTTATCTAACTTTTTGCTTTCAAGAATTTTTTTTTTTTTTTTTTTTTAATTAGTGTAATTTGTTGCTTGGGACAAATAAGAGATTCACCCGCTGTAGCACTCCCAACTCCCAAGGCCAGGAGCGTCGGCAAAACCAGCTGAAATTCAGAGACATCCAAGGAAAATTCCCCTCCTACTCTGCAACCCAACACTACAATTTGGGAGTACAAATTACTTTATTCCAGCTGGGGAAGCAAATATTTAATATGTGGTATTAAATAAGAGACACCATTCCAACATATGAAGTGTAAAGAGCATCTTGGTGAGCAAACATCAGCTCAACGTACAAGCAAAGGCTGAGATCTAGACTTGACCCAAACAGCCACTTAATTCCTCAAGGTTCCCATCCACGCTGCGGTACAATTATTCACTACTATCTCGCAAAGGAGCTGGGAATCTCATTTAAAAGACTTGAGAGACACACGAAAGCTGCCGTCAAGACAATGAGATATGTGAAGAACCGTTCACCCTCTTCTTCAAAACATCTCCAGCACCATTGCTCTACTTGGCGTAGGTCTCGGGGTTATAGCCAGGTTATAACCTGTGGAGCCAGGAGCTATTTTGAAGAGATTCAGCAAGAAATAAGAAGGAAATCTCAGATTACCACTGGCATTAAGGTTCCAGCTGTCTGCCACAGAGATTAAATGAAAGATCAAATCACTCAGGGCATAAACCCCCACTTTGCTCTTGTGCTTCACCCAGTAGCCCACGTCTATCCTGAAGGTTTGCGTTAATTAGTCATTCAGCCTCGCCTGGTGATGTTTCCACAGAAGAAAGGTTTCTTTCCAGTACCTCCTGCAACCTCTTTACCTTTTTGGTCTTCTTCGCACTGGAGCTACCTAACCAATGAGTGGTCAGGGGGATCTCGGATCAGAGTCCCTCCAAGGACGGGAGAACGGGGACTGCTGCAGCAGACAGCGTCCGGCTGTCCTCCCCACCGAGCTGGGAAAGCCCCGTGCCCACCCCCTGCGCGGAAACGTACGTTTGCTTTGGTGTTTCTTACCTTTTCAATTTTTTCATCAAGCATTCTGAAGAATTCTTGTTGGCTTTCGGAGATGTGCATGCTGAAAGGCAAAGCAAGAGTATCAGTACCGACGGGACTTCTTCCGTCTTAAACACCAGTGCTGCTCTTCAGAGCTCTGAGGGACCCGGCTCTAAGTTTTTACCACTGCGAAAAATAAATCACTTTATACAATGACCACAACGACAACTTTTTAAGCTTTTTTTGGGGGGAGGGGTTTGGTTTGCCCACAGAAAAATTCTTGCGTTTGGTTCTGCGTACGCATGCGACACTTGGGACAGCGAGAGCCCGCTCCGTGTCGAGACGGAGGGTCTTCCCAGACCGCCGACCTCAGCAGCACAGGAGGAGATGTTGAAGCCTCGCAGGGGGTGATCTGCCTGCCGTGCCACAGCCGGGCTCTGCGCTCCGTGCCCGGGCACGTCCACCAGCCCAGGCCATCCTTCCCCTCCCCGACACGTGGTCCTCGCTGCTCCCTCCGCAGAGCCCGCAGACCGTCCCCTGCGGTGAACGCCGCAGCTCCGAGAGGCTCAGGGCCAGCGACACCATTTTGCGTTAGTGCAGAAGGCTGAAAAACACCATCTTTACGTCTTAAAATGCTGATGGTGGCACAAGACAACAGGTCCCTCACCAAGGGGGACCTGCAAGCTCGAAATACAGGAGGGTCGGACGCAGAGGAAAGGACGAGGGGACAGAGACGGGGATGCACAGCAGACCGTACTCGGGGTGCGTCTGCTTTGTTTATCTTCGGCGGTGGTGAGCGACTCCTTCCCTGAACCCCGATATCCCCCCGGGAAGGGAAGCTGGAGCAACCTCCGGACCAGGGATGCGCACACGGGCCCACGCGGGGCTGGAGAAAAGCGCCCGGGACTCATGGCAGGATGAAAAAAAGTGCGAAAAAGGAAGGATGGGAGACTGGTGCCAGTGTTCCCAGTGATGCCAGGCGGTTAGGAGGACACACGGCTCTTGGAGGTTTTTCTCTGACACTAAAACCTGATTTACGTTGCTGCATTCCCGCTCCAGACTCCTCTTCCTCGGCGTGATCCCTTCAGCTGCAATGAGTTCATCCTCCTCCCAACACAAAGAAGTGCTTATGCTGGACATAAAAGCAGGCTCAGTTCAGACGAGGAGGTCTCAGAAGTGGCATGAAAACCTCAAGCTGGTGATTCAGGAGGGGGAACAATTTGCCTTTCAGTGGCTGTGGGAGTTTCTGTCCCCAGGTGTCTGCCTCAGCCCTCAGGTTCCCACCTCCACCCGAGATGGGGAAAAGACGCTCGTGTGGGGCAGTCGACCCCATCACCTTCCTATTCAGGTGTCTTGGAGAGGGACTTTCAGGCAGACCAGCCCGTTCTGGGTAGGTAAGCACTGGAAGCATACTCTGTCCTTTGCAGCAGCACAGATCCAGTTCCTAACGAAGTGAGATGATGCTGTAGCGACTCACCCCAGCCATAACTTGGAAAGAAACCAAAGGAAGGGGGGTGAGGGGCAAGAAGTATTGTGTTGCCTTGGGCAAACAGTGGAGGTTTCACCCAACCACCCAAGGTTATGCTCTGTAGCTCTCTGAGCAGTTTCCTTCTTTTCACAGGACCCTGACAGAAACATTTACCTCTGCCAGTGCAATGTCTTTAGGCTTTCTGGTGAGTGAAGGTCAGTTCTGGTTTCTGCAGGGACTTTTAAAATCAGATTTTGATGAAAGGACAGACACCCAACCCCACACCAACCCCTCAGATGCACCAGAAGAGATGCCCCCCTCAAAGAAATAGCCTTTCTGCAGCCCAGGGTGATTCACCTCCTGTTAAAGCATCTCCAACCCGTCACTAACCCTGCTGGGAAGGACCACGCCACAGTAATGAAGTCCAGCTTTGCTGAAGGGTGATTTTACCTCCACCTCCCTACTGCGACCTTCTTTGCAATTACACCTGAAGTGCTCGATTTTTCCTTTTCAAAGGAGGCTGAATCATACTGTCAGTTGATTAGGAAATTACTGAAGTTTCCCGACTCGAAACCGCGCACAACGCACTTGGCATGCAGCAAGCTTAGGTTAGTAAGTGCCCCAAAGGCACGGCACAAAGAACCGCATTTCCGCTGCTGTTCAAAATCCAGCAGGAAAGCTTTATCGCTACAAACCCCATATATAGCTCCATGTAATCTCTTCTTTTCAATCCAATTAGTGATTAGAATGTAACGGTGATTTAGATAAGGAATGAGTTACTAATATCAATAACCGGCTCTGTCACAGGAGTTAAATATTCCAGGGCGTATGTAACACCGACTGATCTCAGCCAGGGCACAGCACAGAACAGCGAGCAAAGGATGGAGACGCTCTCACCTACAACACAACCCTCATTTGAAGAAACAGCTTGACCGTTTTACACGGAAGAAGTTTACCACTCCTAATCCCAGGCAGCAGAGCTGCTAACTTATGCCAAGAGCTAGCAAACACTTCCCTGGGACCTTAACCGATAGTGTTCAGGAACACTAGGGCATATATAATTTTCTTTACGTGTAAGTTGTACGGAAAGCTGAGAAATAAGACAGCCTGGTACTCCTATAAGGCAGGGCAAGACACATTGGGCACATTTTTAAGTGCTGCACCACGGCTGCGCAAAGGAGAGGACGCTGCAGGGGTGTCAGCACAAGTGCTGCCCGGCTGTGTCGTCGGTCTCGGGACACCGGTGACCTGACCGGTTTTCTTTTAATTTGGTAAGGTTTTTGCTAGGCAATAACTGGGAATCTCACAGATACGGTTTAATTCTGTGCTTATTTGTATTACAATTACAAAAAGAAAAAAATTGAACTTACTTTGCTCTGGGTTGATGTACTAATCCTGGGACTTCTTTATTAGATTTAAGTCTTGCGTTTGAACTGGCACTTTTTTCCTGAAACACACAAAAACCACACAACAGAGACACCATCAGTACTCCTGAAGCACACAAAGCACGACAGGCACTTGTCATCACGGTGTCACACGCTGCTGGGTCCAGGCTCTTCCCCCTGTACAACCAAATGACCAAAGTTCATCAAAAACGGAATTAAAGGCAACACAACTGATGCAGTGACCCCGGGCGGGCAACTTTTAAATGTCTGGTGGCCTGGGGGATTGCCTCCAGGTCACCGGGTGACATCTGGCCAGGACATGCAGCAAAGGAACACTGTGCTGGCCAATAACTCTCCAGCGGTCCACGGAAAACGGGGTGTGCAGCTGCAGCTGGGCTCCTCGCAGAGCCATATCGACGGCACCACCAACGGGCATCTCTAACGGAGCAAGAAAGGCCCCAGAGTCACCCCAGACCTGTAGGTTTGCTCAGAGCAGAGGTGAGAAATATTAGCATCACGTGGAAAACTGTCTGTGGGAGAAAGCGTGCACTGAACGAGCCAGCGAGAAGCGCAGCAACGGCAGCCTCGACCTGCTCAGTCAGCAGATGGGACACCAGGGGCCCAGCAAAGCAAACCAGAGTATGTTCATAGACGAGAACACGACCGTGTCCTCCGTGGAGAACCAGAGCCACTAAAAACATCTTAAATAAGTGGTGGGGAGGGAGAAGAGTTCAGTCAAGAGCCAGCGTTTCAAGGTGACATCTTGTCCTCCTGCCAGAAGCTTCTATAAACCAAAGCTTAGTGCACGCACACGTATCTACTGCCTGCAAAAAGAAGGATACGGCCCCTTCCAGCTCATCCCAGCGCTGCGTGGTAGGGAATTTTTGTGGTAGGTAAAGCTGCTGGTGCAGATGGAAGAGCTGAGTCAAATCTTCCAGCTCACCCGCTCCACAAACCCATCTGAATTTCTCAGGCACGTCATGCCCATGACAATTTAAGAAATGTAAACCCAAGAATTAGCGCTTTTGTGGGTAATTTTGGTGGTTTTGTTTTGTCTTATTTAGTCTTTGAATGTCTGAATCACACAACACGATTTTTAAGAGGGCTACTAAATCGCTGAATTTAAAAAATAGAGTCTGTCTAGCAGTTAATATTTTAATGAATAATTCTACAAGGGCTGTAAACATCAACTGCCTCAGCATATTTAACACTGTTTAATGCATATCTTCCAATCCTCCTAAACAGAAAACGATGTCTCGCATGAAAATGACAGTGAGAGAGAAACAAGCCTTTCTCCCAAGCCTTCACCAGCGTCTCTGTGTGCTTGTTGCATCCCGCCAGCCCCTGCCTGCCCATGATGTCAAGCCAAAGCAGCAGAACAGAAGCCGAAACCACTTACTTTCAAGGCATCTTCTAATTTTAAGTGTTAGCTGGGGATGACTACGCACATGCACGTTGCGTGTGCGGTAACACACACGTGCATGGTCATACAACTCCTACGAGTCGCTGTATGACTCGTACAACTCTCAAGCAAACTCATACAACTGCCAAGCAAAACACAAAGAGAGGGACAGGTCTCACGGGGCAGACACCAAACCCAGAAATCAGCTAAATCCCAACCTCACGCGCCAGGTGAGCCTTTACCCTCACACCTGCTCCACCAGTTTGCCACAGCAGAGGCAGAAACGGGGAGTGGTGAACGCTGCACAGCTGGGACGGCACATCTGGATGGTCCAGTGGTGGGCACGTTCTGCAGCCAGAGCACCTCCTGCCCGCCCGCTGCAATACAAGGTGCACTCAGGGCTATCTTCTGTCTCTGCGTACCGTCACCCTGGAGGCACAGACCACCAAAAAAACCGCTGCAAATCCACTGCCTCGATTAAACGGGAAGGGAAGCTCCAATTTCCAGCTCCTGCGTCGGGAGCTGTGACAAATCACGGCGGCGCAAACCCGGCTTTCCACCCCTCCGCTGGTGGTTTGGCGTCGGGGCAGCATCATCAGCAGCTGGAACCAGCACAAATCCCAGCCGAAAGAAACTCCTGTCACTTAGGAACAAACAGAAAGGCACCAGGAAAAGATACGCTGCCTTCTCTCTGTGGGTCTCCAAGCAATATTTAGAATATTAACTGACTCCCACAGGAAGACAGAAATACAATTCCAGTTTACTTGACTTCAAGATCCCAAAATTTACTCTTTC